TTAAAGTTCCGGTATTTCGTTTGAAAGAAGTCTGTCCCTTCAACAAATGATCAGATGTGAGACGACGGCAAAGAAATTTGGAACGTTCAATAAAGCCTAACTATTCGACGACAGTCTATTGCTAGTAGAAGCCTTTCTAAATGTGTGAAGGAATACATGGACTAGAAAAGACTTCATTTGCATAATGCAATGCATTTTTGTGAACGACATTCATCTCGAACTACAGCATGAGTGTTCTACACTTATGACAACTCTATAGCTCTTCTCATTAACAAAAATGGACAGATATCGATAAAGGCTGTTACAAAAGTCTACTATGGACATCTCACACTCACCGCTCGACCTATATTATCACCAGCATTCATGGAAGATGATAACAAGAATTCCTTAGTAGCATACACCAACAGGAGGGCAACTCCATTGCTGGAAGCGATATCATGCCTAACCACTTCAGCACCATTTTGAATCAGAAGTATACACATGTAACAAAAGATCCTTACCCAGATTTTGTATATGTAGTACAGAATATATGGAGGAATTCATGTCTGTATCGGCGTTGCCACAAATATCATAACAAGTTATAATTATCTTACATAACAACGCTGTATTTGCTAAGCCGAATATCGGCTACACCTTGCAATTACGTCTGGACACCGACAATACGGCAATTAATTCTCGCTTCCATAATAGCCGACGATTACGAAACAGGTTACATAACTGGCTGCTACAATTGCATAGCAGGCACTGGAGTTGAGCATGACCTGTAGAAGTGGCTACGAAGAAGCCAGAGCAAACAACTGGAATCCTCAATTCGTAGTCCCGAGATGCACGATGAAACGTCATTTAACTAGGAAAATGTGTTTTAGTTAAGCAAGAACCTCGAGAAACTACAACCTTTCTTATCCTGAAGCAACAATACCAATCAATATTGAAGGACCTCTCAGATTCTTTAATGAAGTCATGAAAAATGAAATCCTACTGGATAACGATAGAATAAATGCATCAACAGGCATACCGTTTCTAAGTAACCCTTCACAGTATTCAGACAATTTCATATTATTGAAATTTTCAGGAGCCTTGAATTCTTAGAACACTTACTTCTTACTCGGTACTGACTACTACTCTAATGTGTATATGTATACATATATGTATATGTGTGTCTTTCTATTTTCCATGAGAAAAGATCCCACCATACCTTTTTGCGGTGGTACTGCTGACATTATAACCACAAATTAATCGATAGTAGAATTATTCATTGTGCCTATCAATAAACACACGGCCTTCGTTTCACCGTCTTTATGACCGAATCACCGAAACCAATGAAAAAACGAACTGGAGAGATAGTTTCACACCAGTAAAAATGCTGTTTGGCTGTGTATACAAACTGGCTATGACATCAACAAATATCTCCTTCTTATTCCTATACGCATGAAACGCATGAAACCTTCCTCCCTGACGTGCTAAAATCCAAACAGTATCGTCGATAATTCACTAACAAATCTCGTAATGTTTACAAGGCCAGTGGAAAAACAATATTTAGTAAAAATCTGTCATAACATGTTATATCCAATATACAAAATATTTCATAGCAATGGGCCAGACTTCTAAAACGTTTGCTTATCTATCATTGAGCGAAATTCCTGTAGGAATTCATCACTCCCAAGTGACCTAACTCTGACAAATATTCCAATGTGCTCAAAAGAGTGACGTTTGTGAAGGGCAAGTTCAATGTTCTCTTGTGAAAGTATGATATCACGACATCTTAAATTGAGAGGATCACAAGTAGTTGGTGGGATCCAACGACTTTTCAGTAATTCATGATTTTAAACGTTAGCAAACTTCGGAACCTGAAGAGCTTTTTCAACCGAGGGGACAATTGTATTGTGTAGTTGCTACTAGCAGAGTGCATCGCATAGCTAAAAGATTGGAAGGATTCTGAATAGAATTCATCTATAATCGGTTCTGCTACTTGCAGAGAAATGCTGTTCTACACGAAACAACTGAAATCAATCACTATTTCACAGCATTTTTAAATACTGAGCTTCACCGCAAGAATGTGCAACTTTAGCCAACAAGGTGGTGAAAAAAAATAGTCCAGCCTTTTAATGTCATTGTGGAAAACCATGTAATCCACAGCAAAATTTTATCTGGATTTATAAGGAGATGATGTGTTTAACGAATACTTCCATTATTAAGCATTTTTTTACATCTCGTTCCTTTACTCAGGCAAGTGCGTTGAAACACTGGCATCGATTTCGACAACACACCATAATGGAAGATTTCACTGAAAAGTTTGGGGCATAGTGCTCAGAAAACTAGCCAAATAACCAAATGATAAAATCCAAGAAATCTAAGAGTTCGAGGGATTTCAACTATAGAACCAATTACGGTACCAATCCAGCCAAGGTAGTACATATAGAGACAGTCGTATTTAATCAAAAGATCAAGAAAAGAAGTAGAAAACGGAAGACCACACCAAAGATCTCTTCATCTTTCGATTAATGAATATGTTCAGACGGTCCGCCTCACGATCTATACGCTTCTCAGTTCAAACGAATACACTGAATATTGAAGTCGAGTAATTGGATGGCCACTAAACACCTTCCTGTCGATGTTACCACAACATTTTCAATAGCCTAAATATGTGAGACTTATTTCTGAGATGAAGTTGTTATTTGTAAATTTTTACTATAATGCTCAATCCTCTACATGCCAGTAGTATATGTCAAGCGACAGAATTATAACCGCTGTATTATTCCTGCCGGATTTCTCTGTGCTATTAATAAGAAATTGAATAAATATTACCAGTTTCTTTCGTTAGGTCTCTATCTTCATGGTAGTGGGAAAACTACTGCATAGAACCCGAATGAATATAACGGTATCCTTAATATAGACGTGAAAATATCGCTAAGGATATTGGATGTAATGGGAATCACTTCATCCTACTTCGGTACGACATATAAGCAACGAAAGTCTACGACGCATTTCCAGCCAAGACGAGAAATTCGCGGCCTTACCTTGAAAAAACCGCCTGTGTCACCTTGCCATTCGCTGGTTGTCATGCGAACCAATATGGCGCCCGTTGTTAAGAATGGAGGTAGAGATAGGGTCTTTCATCATTGTTTCTAGCAAAGCCGGTTCTTTGGATGAATAACAGCAGTATATGGCGACGTGAAATTTCAGTAAAAACCGTTAAGGAATTGAATTTAATAGAATGCTGCTGACCACACGCATTCTGGTTTCATACTGCGTTTAAGCAAACTATACACAACTGAGCTATGGGAAACCACGGTGGTTAACTGAAACTTGTATAAAACTTCCAATCGTACCGCTATTAGTACTCAAATATTCATACACTGGACGGCTGCTATCTATACACAAGAAACCGTATGACTCGGATGTATTTGACACGGTTGGTGGAAATTAATGTCGATTGGTAACAATCAATTTCGAGTACGTAAACCTCACTCATCATGTGTAACAGGGAGATGAATGCTCTCTGCCACCATAGACTTTATCTTTGGCAATGGTGCAAACTCCTTCAGTTGTTCACTTTGTTGTGCTCCTCTAGGTTGTTTTGGAGTTAGGCTCTCTGCTATGACGCGATAACTGCAGTTGTTGTGTAGCCTTGCTTTTTCACAGTTAACGCGTCTAAAGATCTGCCAATGTATTGATAAGAAATGTAGGTGAGCTGGGTACGCATTAAGATACTCATTTATTGTTTCTTCTTCCCATGGAAAAACTGGTGGACAAGAAATTGTATGATTTACGATGAGTTCTGCATTATCATGGTGCTTTCCACATGGAGACTCCCACGTCCAATGTTCAATGTTGAGAGGGCGCTATAGAATTATGAATGACCACAAACGTCTTGTACATCACGACTAAATCAAGCAGCCTCTCATCATGCTCGTTCCTTTCCAGAAAACGCTTCGTAACGCTCTTCATACACTCTCTTGACGCCAGTCTTGGTATAGAAGTCATCAATAATGATCTTGTAAAAATTTTCATCTTTCAAGAACTCTCTAAGGCAAAATTTGTTTGCTCCTTCTTGTTTGCAGAGACCGTTGTATTAGTTGGTCCAAGGGTATTTGTGTCGAAAATCAAGATCGTTTTGAGAAGGAAAACGGAAGATACGAACTGACCCCAAGTAGCAGAAGAAGTTGTAATGCACGTACCTTGAATACAGCTGCACATGAACCCACGTATTCAAGATCGCATTTGGTCCGCGTTTAGCGTTTTTTCTGCCACCTGAGGATATCGTTCGAATGCTCGTGACTAAAATCCCTCATGCAGATGAAATCCATGGCTTAAATATTTTCTTGAAAAACATGTCTCTTAAACCATACACGAAGTTTGAAGAATAGTCAAAGCTAACTTAACTTACTTGCGATTGTAGTTGAACCTATGGAAGTTATGCTAAACTGATACCACTACTAACATTTCAATGACCTGCTCCTAATTTCGTATAACACAATCGTCTCCTCTCCACACTCTGAATGCATAAAACGACATATCTGTACAAATCTTTTTCTTGAAAAAACTAAAGATTTTGATTCCCAAGTTTCCTACAATGACATGTGCCTCTTAGAAAATTAGGAAAACGCCGAACTTCCTTTGAAGGAAAGACTTTACTTCCACAAAACCATGTTGTTACACCTAACCTTGGTTGTAGCAGAGAATACACTAAGATGGCAGATCATTGGTGGTAATTAAGCTGGATTGTCGAAATATTCCACGTAAATTTACTTGCTCAACATATCCCAGACTGATATGAGGACTTCATATTTTCCACGAAAAACTTTCCACTGGATCTAGTTAGTTTCCAATCCCTTATGCACGAAAGCTCGACAACATGATATACTGCAAAATAGAAGAAAAGTGGAGCTTTGAGCGGTTTTAATTCACGATGCCACCAGATACCGAAACTCTTGCTATCTTTGCGGGAATTAATAATAGTTTTGAAGCTCACATGATCCTTCAACAGAAGATTCCAACTTTTATACAATATCAAGGTGTTCAAGCTCCGAATGCCCATCACTATCATAAATGATAGGTGGATGGGAGCATGGTAACAAGATATGACGAAAGAATGTACGATTTCGTCGAAGTCCGAGAAAGCTTTTCCAGTTATTGAGCACTCCTTTATTGAGACCAATCCCTGAGAATGTTCTCACACGTGAATAATCCACACGCTTCTGAAAAGAAAACAAATAGAAAAAACAACTATTTCCGGCCATCTACTAACGAAGAGTACTAACTATATAATCGATGTAGGTGGAACCACATGAAATAAGGAAGCAGTTCCATATTGTGAGAAATCCAACAAGCAAAAACAGCAAAACACTGAGAAGATAACAGAAAACCACCGCATTACGTGCGAAACCTTCATGCGAACATATGAAAGGCTGTAGAGGGGCCAAGGTCAGTTGTGTTGAACAGAAATTTGAAGTTGATGCACCCTGAAAACGGTCGATGAAGAAAAGTGTTCAAAAACCACTATGAAAACATTCGGTGGCAAACTAAATTCTGAACAGTGGAATGGATGCTAGTCATTGTTAAATTTTAAGGGCACAACACCTTCCAACGTTGAAGGAGTTTTCCTGAACACCAAAATACAATACAAAACAAGAAATCCCTAATACCATAAACGAATTAGACTTGTTATTGGAACTACAAACTACTCAGCAGTGATAAACAACTACTGGTATTTCTACCTACAAAGAAAATACCCCTTCTAAAATGACAACAACGCTGAGTTATAAGGACGAAAAACTGCTGGAACACTCAGTCCTCTCAGTATCTCAATCCTTGCAGAGTCTATTACTGAACCCGCAATAAAAGCTGAAGCTGGTAAGACAATCGAGGGTGAGCTAAGTATGAACGCCTCCACTAGTAGAAATACACTAACTACCTCCATAATCCTATTTTTTCCAATATTGACAGTGGTATCCAAATAGATTGGTACCAAAATTAATACTACCAAAAATATCGCATCTGGAAGCCAATGGTATCAATCAAAACTATGAATTACTGAAAGAGGAGGACTACATACGTATGTATACATATGCATATGTATACGTATATATATATATATATATATATAAATACATATATAGAACATCAGCATTTTGTTTTGAAATTTGGTTTATGCAACCACGACTCTAATTCACCCAGTGTTTTCATCTGCTTTTGGATTAAATCTATATCATCACAGCCACAACACCTAATAAACCATCACTGATAAAAACATAACGACCAATGCTGGTTTTTCCAAAAAACGTCAATACTTAGATTATGGCCTACGAAGTTGATAAAACTTTCGGAGGGAATTCACTTCACTTTTCTACATGTGCATATGGCTTTTTTAAAATGTCCTCCCAATTCTGACCACTTTGTAACTCGAATTATCACAAAAATCGAGATGAATTTCATACTACCAAAATTTACCTAGTATCAAAATTTTCAAAAGCCTTCTTATATGAAATTTTACTATAACTTCTTTGTGAAGGTCGGATTGTTCAATCCCTTCACTATATGAAAGTTGACGAGGAACGGACAATAAAAATATCTGTCATGAACGCTCGAGAACACGAAATACTACATTTTTCAGAATTTACGAAAAGTACATTATGGGCAAAAACATAAATTCTCACCGGTTTTATTTCAATCAACTTAATAGCACCTCTGTGAGTCATATATGGATCATTTTCCTTCCCGTTCTCTACTTTGCCAAACACAGCTTCCCCTTCTTGCTGAACTATTGCATTCATCAGATAGATTATGCTGTGCAAACACTCTGCCTGCTCTAGCGCGAAGAAAACTGTATTCGACACGAAATAATTTGCAAAAAATCGTTTTCAGACGAGTTTATTCATCCGGTTCGAATCTCTCTGACGGTATTAACATGTCTACAGTGTCTTGCATGTCGAAGTTGAAAACTAAGAAGGTCATTGTAGCTATGAGAAGAAGGTGAGTTACTGAGAAAACTTTTAATATGCAAAAGAACTAGTGCATAGAATGTATGTTCATCAACGTATACAGCACACCTTTGTAAATGTTACAAATTTCCAACGATTATTCTCAGGACCCTTTAATGGAGTTTTAAACGTTGTACTGAAATGCATTTTTATTACAACCAAGAATTCTTATAATTAACACTTCTACAGTTTTTAGACTACCACAAACAGTAATACTTCCAATACACACTTCTTGCATTAGAGGGCGGATGGCACAGTGGTACTGATGTCCGTCATCACGACCATAGTGCTAGTTCGACTTCGTCCCAGCTCAACCAAGACTCTCTCATCCCTCAGGAAATTGGTATCGAACTTGTCTAGGAAAAAACAACTGTCTGCAATCCAATTGGGAATGCTCCAGCCCGGCTATCTCAGGACTGCAGGGAGAATTGCTGAACCAGCATTCTACGACATTCAAGATGAAATGAAAATCTTCAAGCAGCAACCTAAACCACACATAAAAAGTTGGAAGAGCTTTGTGGAGGATGGATGCGAGGAAATAAATTGGATGTGAGAAGTGCTAGGATCCGCACAGTAGACGTGAAGACGGATCAAATAAAATTTTAAAAAATGTATGCTGACGAAAACCGCAACAGCTACATGGTATGTGGCTGAAAACAAACTTTGTTCTACCATAGGTAAAAGAGTGCAACAGAATAGTGCTAAATCGAATGCAGCTGAGATATTCGGGTCTACCACAATGAATGTATGTCCCAAAAGCCCCACATTAAGTGAGATTCAATTTCCTATCATATATCAACAGACATCTTTTAATCTTTCCATCATTTTTTATTATGTAACAGCTTCAAATTCAGCTCAACATACGTCAATGAACCAGTCGCCCTCTTGAAATCAATGCATTGTTTTTACATGACTTGCGGATCTCAGTACTCCTCGCATTCGATTCACTTTGGATCCATCATCCATGTATTCGAATTTTTGGATTTCGAAAAGGCTTTAGGATGTGCAGGCTAATGTAGAACCACTGTTGAATATTTGTAGAGTCAATTCTCCCGGGAAACTTAGGATAGTTGTGCTAGAACGTTTCAAGTTCCTCGTCAAAGGCACACGCCATCTTTTGTGGACTGCGATGAGTTAGGTGATCCAAGACAATTCTGATAACGATTTCCTGACTGAAGGGGAATGGGAGCTCTAGTGAGTCTTGGGGCGGATCGAACCAGCGCCTTGCTCGTAATGAAGGACATCAGTGTGCTGCACTACTCGTCTTTCATCTCTAAACAGCGCCTGTTAGAAACATCAACGTTAATGAATTCTAAATAGCCATACCAAGTACAAAGATGATGAGATATGAGCAAAACTCCAAAACCGCAGGTGCTCTTCGAACTTACGATTGCATTCATCAGGGTGTCACGTTCTATCCACCACACTAACCGAGGTCGTTGCCATACCTTTCTCTCAACAAGTTTTTTTCTACTGCATTGATGCTATCAGCAGTCAAAGGGAATAATCCGGCGATCACATGTCGACACTGAACAAGTTAAGTGGAAGCTGCAGTAGAAATCACAATTGTCTAACTTTTTATTTACTGCCTACTCAGACACCACCGATAAAGTTCCTAGGATCGACTTTCTATTAACCTCGGCACTGGATTATAAAATCGTCGCTTCCTTTCTCAGCAATCACGAGGTTGTTAAACAGCATGCGTTTACCTCATACAATAACACTTATAGAACACAAGTCAACCATATGCGACTTTGATCAATGGCTTTTCCTCAGTGGAAGGCACGTGAAAACAGTCTGAAGAAGGCGATACTGCCCGAATCGTCAGCCACGGTTGTGTTGTTTGCGTGCTGTTGTGTGGAAGTAAACGTATGCTGTTCAACAACCCCGCAACTGCTGAGAAAGAAAACGACCACCGATAAAGTAAAAGAAAAACTTGCGGTGAGCAAGGCACAGCAAATGTCTCTGCTATTGTGGTGGATAGCACGTGAGAAACAGGCAAGGATAATCGACAGTTCGAAGCTCACCTGAGATTTCAAGTTTTACTCACATCTCAGCATCTTTGTGGTTGTATTTAACATCGTAGTCCGTCTGCCACAAGAAAAGGATTGACAGTAAATAAAAACTCCGGACCGCAAGTGTACGCGGTGGGGAACGAACGCGCGCTATTGTCCTTACAGGAGAGTAGCGCACTTCCCCACCACACCATCCGGGTCCTTCGTCTCGCCTGTCTCTCTCTCAGTTCTATTGAACTTTTTCCCATCAACAACCACCCGTCAACGAGATTGATCTAGGGAGCCCAAATCGGCATTGAACCCAGTAAAGCTGAGGCTTAATTATAATCACAATCTTAACCCTTTTATTTACTGCCTTTTTCTTTTTAATGGCAGGGTATGTTGCGAAATATAACTCGTATATAGTGCAGAGATATTTGCAAAAAAAAAGAACTAGCTGAGAGACAGGCAAGACGAAGGACCCGGATGGTGTGGTGGTGAAGTGCGATACTCCCCGGGAAGGACAACAGCGCGCGTTCGTTCCCCACCGCATACACCTGCGGTCCGGAGTTTTGCAAATATCTCAGCACTATATACGAGTTATATTTCGCAACATACCTTGCCATTAAAAGGAAAAAGGCAGTAAATAAAAGGGTTAAGATAGTAAATAAGAAGTTAAACCATAACAAATTTCTTTTCCTGCAACTCGTAAGTTCTTGAAATCCATTCAGACTCAAAGATAAACAGAATTTATATTACAAATATGGTTTAATATGTATACAAGGCGCATGTAGCACGTTGGTTGTCGGTGCTCTGTAAAACACATAGCATCATTGTCACGACCAACTGCATAGAGCCTACTGTTTAGACCAAACACGCATTCATTTGCCTCCACGATGCTTGATAGAGCTAACAGCATAGCGTATACCTTGATACAGTAGAATTCATTGCGGAATTGATTAACGCCCAATGTTTTATCCTTCTTAATATGGATCCGAAAACTCTAAAAATCACTTTTTTCCGAAACAAAAGTAGCAAAAGTTTGCCGTGATTTGAAGAACTTTCATACTTAAGAAACTCCTTTCTTTTCGTTGCTGTTAATCAAGTCAAGTAAATAGTAGACTTTTAGGTGCAAGTGATTAAAAATTGTTCACTTTTCAGCTAAAAGTGCTTTCTATTACAAAATAAAACAGTATCGGAGGACAAACCTGATACGATAGTGTTCGCAAAATGAACGCTATGCCTTCTTTGAATGCAGAAATAGGTTTTACCGACCGGGTGTTCACGGCCTAACTGTTCATTTTTTTTGGTGGACGACTCATGCAACTATACTTCACAACAACGCTTCGATAAATACTCTAATATTCCACATGTGGTTAAAACAGAAAACCGCTAACTTACCGCATACATATGATCGTAAAGCGTATTAAGGCCTGCTAGCATAATGGTAAATGTAGCACCCGTAAGATACAGAATAAATAAAAAGAAGTGACGGTGATTATGCGACCCAACACATTGATTTATCCAAATGCAATGGTGATCCATACCCATTATGCATCTAGAGGCAAAAAGTGGTCAACATTAAGCTGTAGCAACAAGATTTCTTACTCAGTTAGTGCTATGATATATGTACAGCTCACCGTTTACAAATAGAACAGTGGTGAGTACGTTCATTCTTGAAGAAGTTACACATCTCGCACCATCGATCACCTCTCCTCTGCTAAGTTAGAAATATTAACACGGAAAAAGGAAATACTTGCATGAATTATAGCCTTTGTGGTCAGACACGAGAAAGATTTCACATATGGTGAAAACAACCGAAAATACCTGTCAAAGCAGAAAGCTGATTCTTCGAAAAGAAAAAATGCAACTGTAATTTTAACCTCTAACGAAGGCGCGGCGCATAGCAAACCTGGTCCAGTGGAAAACAAACAGTTTTCGTCGGTTGCGGACTTACTGGTTTTTTAACAACAAAAAGTTGTTTTTCAGTAACTAGAAGGCTTTACTGGATGCAAGCATAACGGAATTCTAGAAGAGACTTTGTTCAATCGTAATATGGATGTGAATATGTAAGCCACTACACAATACGTGTAACTATGGTCCACCATCCAAATACGTTGGTGCCGGCATTTTGAAGTATTTGGTACTATGTTGAGTTTACTTTGGTGTCTCTAGTATACGCTCATTCCATAAAATGAACAACGATTACAGTGAAATGAAAGTTAATTATTAGTCAAATTACCGACCAATGAACATCTTCAAAAAAAGGTTTCAGAAAATCATGAAGTGTAAAAACTGGCTTTTCTATTCTCACCCTAGTATAGCTTTCGAATGAACAGACATAGTGCGGTAAAAAAAGTGTTGGACCCACTTAGAACAGGGATGTATGAACACCATACTGCCCATTCCTGGCTTTATGGGTTAAATTGTTACGACCCTATCCACCCAACCCTTTGGTTAGCCACGTATGTTGCAAGGTTTCACCTAGGGTGAATTTTCTAATACATCAGAGAATTGTATCAGTCATCAGCATGCAATTGAAAAAGTATAAGTTAAAAAATATAGTCTGTGCAGTATTTTGTGCAGTACTTCTTTCCTAGATTACAAACTTACCAAAGTACGGAAGCGAAAACTTCTGATTTTCAAGTAAGTCAGTTCAATTACTTACTCCAGGATTTCTAACCGGCTGCAGTGTCCTCGCTTTCCCATAGTGAAATAATATATTGACAAGAAAATAAACTCCAAGACATGTTAGGACACCTAATAACATAGGTGATTTATACCTGCAATTGCAATAATCGAAAACACAACATTGTTTAGAGAAAAAGCCAAGATCCACGACAAAATCCCACATCTAGGGCGAAAATTCTAGAGTGTTTGAGTGTAAAACAAAGACAAATATAGATAGATTCCATTGATTAGTGGTTGCCAACGCTCCATAATCCATTCAAAATTCACTCACGGAATTTTACCAGTTACTTTTATTCCTGATATTAAGAACTTTCAAACCCTCCGAACCAGAACATTTACAGGAAAAAACAGCCTATCCCAGCAAATATGTGTATAAAAGGATAAAGGATAAAGCTCCCGTCGTTGATCAATCCTTGATCGATGCGCCGTGCATTCGATTCCATTAAGCATCGTTGGTGGTGAATGCACGCATATCTGGCACCGAATGTTGCTATCCTCTCAAAGAAGTCTGGTACCAATTTCCCGACCCCGGAGGGATGGAGGGTTTGGTGGGTCAGGAGCGCGGGAATCAATCTCACGTGTATTGCAGGGCGCTTTCGACAATTGCGCCACACGCGCCCTAGTATGTATTTATGATATAGTACGACATATATATGTATATATATATATATATATGAACGTCATGAACGTCTATATATGAAATGAAGAAGTGATAGCACTTAGGAGAGCGAACTAAGCAGCATAAAACTTACATTTGTTCATAAGGTAGTATGATAGCAAACGAGATGAATGTAAGGAAGGCAGTAATAATGTAAACAATATATACAAGTACCTGAAAGCAGACAGTAAGCATGCAGGCTTCTGAAAAAACCACTGACTAGAACATAAGTACTTACAGAACCAAGCCCATTAATGCACTTGTTGATCACGTCTCCATATATACTCAAGAATGCATCTACCTTAGCATCGACCACAACCAGTACTGCTTGAAGAGGACAACACATCCTAAACGGAAAAGAACTTTATGAGTTAAAGAAAACGAAAACGAAGACAACCAAGACGAATGCACACCACTTCACTAGTAAGTTTAATGACTTAGATAGTAAACCTTTGACCACTTTGAACGAGTCAGCTTTCAAGGATGGTGCTTGGAATTCTAGCGCTGGGCAAGAAATGCCCACCTATTGCTAACAAGACCACGGCAATGGTTACAAAGCACCAAGTCGTTGGTTTTGATTGGGGTCGGGCCCAGGGTTAAGCGTAGCTGGAAAACGACTTGAGAGCTAATAGAAGCCACCTCCACCACAATGCGACGAATCTCATATCTTTAGAGATCTATAGACTTCTTTACAAATAGTGTTATTAAGGTAAGCACCATAAAATAACATTCTCAGACCTAGTTGCGCCAGTAGAAGCACCGTATACTCCTATGGGCGCCCTTTAAATATTGCCATGGAGTTCTGTCCTATTCTTCTATCCGGGGTAGTACTATGTTGCGATCTTCTTTTGTACTAGTAGACTCGTTTTGTTTTGTTTCACGTATTACAAGTGCTTCGGTACTGACTGTATCGTAGGGTTTGTTTATTTTAAGGGTTTCTTGTAGGACCAATGAAATAAGGTAAATCTGTCTAATCTTCCTTTCAGTGGGTTTCTGCATCATTATTTTTTCACAGAGCAAAGTGAGAAACAGTTGCTCGCAAAGGTAAGACTTTCTTCTCCACCGTTCAATTTCTTCCATTTTAAGGGTATGTGAGTCGTTTGTGTGCTTCTTCAGAATGCTTTTCGAACAGGCGGAACGGCTTGATTATTTATCGAAATGGCCCGAGTCAGCCCGTTTTAAGGTGAGACTCTTTTCACCTGTTCATTACCACTTTCTTGCAAGTCTCATTGTTCTTCTTCCAGAAGGCTGTTGAAGAAAAGCGGCGTGGTGTCTGCTATACGATGCCGGGTTTGAAAAGCGACAAGCTACTCAATGTGCCTGTTAGTGATGAAGCGCAGGTTTTGGTGGTCCTCCTTTCTGGGGTATTTGTCTTCAATGAATAGTTATGAGAACGTGTTATGACTTTAGCAGTGCTATGATGTTCATTTTTGTCGCATCGACGTGGAGCTGAACTGCCAAGGCCTTACGAACCTAATCGTGAGCAGTTGTTCAGTTGTTCATTTCATGCTGTTTTACCTAGTAAGTATGGAATTCGAATGTTAAGGATATGTGTCATTTGGAACTCGCATTAAACGCGACAACAGTATTGCTCTCACAAATGGGCCATGGTGTGGGAAAAGCTGGAAAGCCGACCCTTATCACACCAACTCTACTTCAGGTGGTTCATTCAATGTTCATGAATTTGTTTTCGCTCCTAGGACTTTCATTTTTATCGTTATAGTTGTGGGGAATACGATTCCAGCTCCTTATGGCATTAAAGCTGTATTCCGTGTTAGCTGACGAATTGTTGCCTTTTGAGGAATTAGACGCGCCTGATCTCTTCTACCAGTACTATAATGATAACGTTGATAAGACAGGTAAAAGGTGGTTATCTCCAAAGCACTTTTCCATGTCTGTACGAACTACAGGAAATTCGTTAGTCATAACAAGAGACTTTGAGGATCACTTGTTACTTTCCAAACACGACTGATTCATGCTGAAGTTTTACGCTTTGGGTCGTGTCCCTGGAAAGCCGTTGAACGGATAAAACGTTTAGAATCGGATGTCGATAAGGTTGATGATTCTGTATCGTCACATGTTTACTTAAGAACTTCGTCACTCTTTAGCGTTTTTAACGCTCTTCGACAGCTAACGATTTGCACTTGAGGTGATATCATCGTTGTCTGCTAGTGATGAGCCAGAAGAACATACAACTGCATGGAAGTGTAGATTGTTTGTGGTTCAGAAGATGTGTGCACGAGTACTGTTCTTCCTTGGGGTATAGAATTTTCTAGCTATATTTTCAACTCACTTTTTTTTGTTTGGTCATGTCAATCAGCAATTTTAGGAGTATATGCTCTCAATTACCACATTGCGTAATATTATGCGATCCTGTTCCCGTGATGAAACGGTGTGTTTTTCGTAATCTATGGTAAGAGATAATCAATGAACGTGACGTGGGCGAGTCAAGATGTCATATCCATCTAAATTCATGCCTTAGTTTTTGAACTGCAAAGGGTCCTCTGTGAGAACTTGACTTAACTAGCATTCATACGTCACGTGAAATCTTATTGTTGATGCAAGTTGTCTTTTCTTTCCCGCATATTTCGGTGTCAGTGCAATAAAGTGCGGGTGTTACTCCCTACCATGTCTTTTTGTTAGATGTCTGTATTGAGATCCTTCTGAGTGGTCCAGTTTTATTATCACCAGTTTTTCTTAACTGTACTAAAGGCATGACATACATCTTACTTTACTTTTAGATGGCTCTATTGGAAGCTATGTTTCGTATAGCGCTTTCAGTTGGGGATGAAAAAGCAGCGAACAAGTTACTCGAAGATGTGACCAAATCTTCCGGTTCTCCATTTCTTTTTAAGTAAGTGTACAATTTTTACTATGAAAAAAGCTGCCTTAATTTTGAACGTAATTGAGTTAATGGATCATTTTTAACCGAATCGGCGTAGATTGAGACGTATTAGAAAGGAATGCCTTATTTTTATTTTGGAAATTCGTTAATACAACTACAACTCGAGATCTCACTTTGGGCCTCTTTCATTCACTATTTGGGCGGCATATATCAATCAGAGCACAAAGAATGTCACTAGGAACAAGCTTGAAGCTTCATTATTTTCTGCAAATTCCTTGAGAATTTTAATATTAGTTCGGAGTATTAGTATTGATCAGACAATAAGTGGACTTAAGTTGACCACAAGTCATTGTGCTAAACCGTCCTCTTCCCTTATTTTTTGAACGATTCGGTTCTTTTGTCCTTAGGAATCGAGTTTTACAGAGCTCTCCGTTCACTTTTTCTTGGAGCTTTTGTGCATGCACAAGAATACCTTCAGAGATTTCCCCGATCCGGCGTTGACAGTTATCCAGTAAGTTTTTTTGTTAAATGCTTTACTTAGTGTTCATCGTAATGTGTGGTAGCTTAGGCACTTAATAGTCTAGCGATTTGTCTGTTGTACAATGGGAGAGTGACTGACGCTGTAGAGTTGTACACAAAAAATGTGCAGGTACGTTATCCATTTTTCAGCTCATTAGAAGTTCAGCACTTTTTTTCATCCGGTAGAAAATGACAAATTTGTAACCTGTGATGTCGAGCCAGGTCATTGTTATTACTACTGTTATTGTTACAACTTTTTAACTCGAAAAAAGCTGCGTATGGAGTTTTTTTACAGTATTGACCGATCTTTCATTCTTCTCGTTGATAGTAATAGACTAGTTCTTACTATAGAACACACAGCTTAAAACATATTACATAGAAAACTGAAAACAGAGCTTTGGTTTCGTGATTGTGGTTCTGCTTGGCATGATTTCCACTTTCGGATTGCTACAACCGTTTTATCCCGTAAGTTAGATTAGGAATCGTTTTCATTTCAGATGAAGGATCTTGTTTAGAGTTTTTGAAGAAAAATACATAACTTTTGGATAAGTTAACGTTACGTTACCGCATTTTTCGAAAGCTGATTAATTTCTGATGATGGGTTCTATAGGAGAATTAGACCATATGGTAATAACTTTACAAAGCGATGTTGAGTAAATAAGAAAACGGTTTTTTCGGGTGGAATACAAGCCATTTTGAACTGGCTTTCTCCAAGTGTTATCCGTCAAACTGTTTCCTGTATTCTATGTAGTCGTTTTAGCAAAATCTATTTTTCTGTCCTAACCTTTCTGAGCTCATTTCTTCAAAGAACCGTAAACGACTCTGCATTAGGCTTAGGCTTAGGCTTAGGCATTGTCGGCTAGTTGGGGTTTTCAGTTTCTGCTCTTTGCCCATCGAAGGTTTAATAATTCCGTGCTGTTCAATATTCTCTTTCCTTGGATTTCAAGATTAGTTTCCATTGGCAACATTCTATCATATTTCATATCTTGGCCATGATTAACGTAGTTTGAAATATGTAAATGCGCGAAATTTCATAAAATTTATTCCACAAAGTGCCAATAACTTATATTATCCATCTCCTCTATTTTCCTAACGATGCTTGCCAAATCGGTTGCAATATGGGAGGGATAGACGATTAGCAGCCATTCACCAGATCTCTGAATTTATCCAAGTAGTAACGGATTCCGAGAAAAAGTGACGATTTGTGAACACTTAACGTCTTCCCTACTTTATACTTTTGAAACAAAATTTACGATTGTAATCGTTTTAGCTTGCTTCTGAGCCACTTCATGCTAATTTGAAAGCAATGTTGGAACTAGGCTGTTCAACTGCTGAAAAAAGTGCACTGTTGAAGGATTTCATTAAAGGAAGAACCGAGAGCTCGAATTGAACAAATAACAAATGGACAAATAACTTTCAGACAAGGCGTATATGGAAAGTTAAGGAATAAGTATTTCTTTTGACACACGAGAAAAAGTCTTTTTGTGAAATCCGAATTTTCATAATTAGAAACCTAATATTTGGAGTGTTTTCAATCACTACTCACTGCAGTTGAATGTTTTTATCTTATGAAGATTCGTTATGTGGATGTCAATTTTCAGTATTATTGTCGTATTTCTCAGTTGTCCTCTCTATTGTCTTTACACATATTTATTCAAAGGAAAGTAGTTTATTGAGGAAGCTAATGTACGAGATAGATAATCGGAGAATCTCAATTTTGGATAGCTTTTTCTCTACCGGCAGTGTCGGAAGCAACGATCGAAGCTTTGCGAATGCCAGGTTGAAGGATTCGACTCGTATCCTGTGATATCATCAAAGTACAATAAATTATTAATTTTTGTTTATAATGCACACAAATATATGTTTTAAGGTTGTGAGGGACTTTTATAATGTGCTGGTGAAATAAATTTGGTTGAATCTTAACTTATTATTTACTGCCTACTCTTTTTAACGGCAGGGTATACAGTGCGAAATATAACTTCTATGATGCTGAGATATTTGCAAAACTCCTCACCGCAAGTGTATGCGGTGGTGAACGAACGAGCGCTATTGTCCTTACCGGGGAGTAGCGCGTTCACCACCACACCACTCGGGTCCTTCGCTTCGCCTGTCTCTCAGCTAGTTCTATCGATCTTTTGATTATAACTGCGGCCTCAGCTTAACTGGGTTCGTTGCCGATTTGAGCTCCCCAGATCAATCAATTCCGCTGATGGGTGCTTGCTGATGGCAAAAGATCAATAGAACTAGCTGAGAGACAGGTAAAACGAAGGACCCGGATGGTGTGGTGGTGAAGTGCGCTACTCCCCTGAAAGGACAATAGCGCGTTCGTCCAACACCGCATACACCTGCGGTCCTATGTTTTGCAAATATCTTAGCATCATTGAAGTTAAATTTGGATGGTTCGATAATTTTTTTCCTTCGAAGCTATTTTCAACCTGAATAAAATGGCTGACGTAACGTAGTCGTCCTGTGCGGAATTAAAGAGGGAAATTTACCAATGCTAAACGTTTTCTCCATCTCGATTTGTCGTAGAACCAGAAATGTGATTTGAAAGGTTAACTAGGCAGAAAGGACGCTAGTGCTGCTTGCTAATCACAAAGCTGCCTTCTAAAGAACTCATGTCAGGAAAGAAAGAAAAACAACCACAAGCCAATGAGCCGTCAATCATGAACGGAAAGCACATTCTGAAGCTAGTGGTATGTAGAAACTAATGGCATCTTGTAAAAGCATTGAAGTGAATGGGACAGTTTGGGCTGCATTCGGAAGTCTGGAAGCAGGCACAAAACAGCTGGTACATGCCAACTTTCAGCTCAAGTTATTGTCTGAGTTGTTCTCGTTCGTTTGCGAAGATACTGGAATTATACTACGTAGAAAGTTTTTTCTGGAGGTTGTATGGTGCTAGCTTGGTTAGCATGTATTGTCGTACGACATCGTACCTTTACAACTTGGTGGGGAACATTGTCGAAGAGCAAAGGTGGCAGGTTCTCAGAAGTGAACAGAACTTGAGAATTCTAGTACAAAATGGGTTGATGTGTTTGAGGTCGATGTGACCCTTCCTTATCGGCAACTGTTTTGTCTCCATGGTTCGATTCATATGGCTGTGCAAAGCAATTCAATTATTTGGAGATTTTTTTTTTGATGTTATTGATCGATGGCTGACGTTTCGGCGACTTCGCCTTCCTCAGAGCCGTGAGAGTCCCGCACGTAACATCACGGCTCTGAGGAAGGCGAAGTCGCCGAAACGTCAGCCATCGATCAATAACATCAAAAACAACGACTACGACAACGACAACGAAGATCTGTACCAACCTCGCGTCAGCTTAAGAAGATCAGTTTATAAGATCGCATAAATAAATATATCAACTATTTATGCCGAGGTTCATAGAAAGTCGGTCTTTCGAGTATTTGGAGATTATTAAAACGGAAGAAATGGGTGGAATATGTGATGCATTAGTGTGAAATATGAGGACGATTAATCTGTTGAAGTTTAGGTTTTCCTATGAATAATTAGATATGAAAATAGCATATTTGGATTCGTGCACATGGCAATCAGTCCGCTACCTTGTTAATGTTACGTGAAGAAGTGCACCTTAAAATTCATCAATTGTAGTTCGGAATAAGGCAAATGTAATTCCTTCTCCCCTCAATTTATCGTACTATTAGGTGTTTTCCAACCTATAGTTAACTCTATGGAATAAGAGCTCGAAATGGAAGCTTTCAAGACTAAAGCTAGGAATTGAAATAGATTCACCTCTCTCTTGTTGCATGCAGGTTTCGGTACTTGGGTGTGGCCCGTCGTCGTTTGCGTCGTTCAGCTTTCGTCAACTTACGATAATCTTTATCTTCGACACTATCGTACATCATGCATGGGATCGCTATTTGTTCAAAAGGCGATTTGCTCATGTAGCTTGAAGTGCAAAGTCATTGACTACTCGTCTTCTAAAATCGTTACAGTGCTTTATAATCATGTCATCAATGATTTCTTACTTAACTACACAGCGCAATAGTGTAAAAATATAAAACTAATTACCACTTTGAGCTGAATTAAAGTAAGAAAAAGGAAACATGAAGTTGACTTTAGTAGTTATGAGAAAACTAGCTAGTGAATAGAAGTCGGAAGTTATTTACAATATAAATAGGAAGGATAAAGCGTTTCGAGTTGATCAATCCCTAAGGGGTGCGTCATGCGTCGACTTGATTAAGCATCGTTGGAAGGGATTGAATGCGTGTATCTGGCCTCTACAATATCTTGCAGTGGCCTACCGATGTATCTACTCAATGGCGCTATCCCGCCAGATTGTCAACTCACCTACCATGAAGGGATAGAAGACTTTGTGAAGCCGGAGCGCCGTATAGAATCAGTGACTACGTGTGTATCGCAGGGCACCTCGAACCACTGCGCTGCATTAGTTCTTCTATTTCCAGTGACCGAATTACTAAATCACTGAAACCGACGGAGAACGAACTCCACATAACATTGTAAATGTCGTTGGATTATACAGTAGTAATGTTTCAAAACGCTTTAGAACTCGGAGAGTAAAAGGACAGTGGACCTATTTTGTCCATGCTCAAAAATTTCTGCAATTGTTTAGTTTGGAGAGAGTGGTTGATAGTTATTCATACACAAATATTTCGCTTCCGCGGACGCGGAAATAAAGTGGAGAGTCCGTCCCTCCAGTATTTTTCAAGACAAAAAGAAGCTCAACGTTTCCATCCGAAAGTCAGGCTAACAGGAAACCAATTTTAGAACCCTCCGCTGTATCGGAAGAAACCTACTTGCAAAGTAGCAAACTTCGCTTCGATTCACAAGATCGTAAGGCTGCTTGTGCTGGCAAGATCCGGCCAAATTTTCTATTGCATAGCCCATTAATGTAATCGCATCAGCACAACATGTCCAATACAGTAGATAACGATTTTGCTTTGCACATACGACATCAGAACATTCTTACTTAGCGTCGAACTTCGAGCGCGCCAATAACTAATAGGTCACGCCAAGTTTCCCAAATGGCTACTTTACAAAGGATAAAAGGAAGGAAGGCCTACACACACCAAGTCGGTAGCGGAACAGTTGGCAATTGTGGAGGAAAGATTGCGTCACTGTTGGTGGGGTGCTTTGTCGTATATTCATTCACTTCTTACACCTCCCGAAATTCCATGTGAAATCCTGTTATATCGTCGGAGCATTCGTATTCTTCAATCTTCGCATCTTTCAAGAATATCAGTATCTTTAACAACGACTCACTAATCTGCGCAGATGAAGAGGCCCAATTAAGTACGCTGTGTAATACATTGGAGGAAGTCATCTGCTGTAAAAATATTATCGTATGAATTTGTCGCTGGAGATTTCATCACCAAATAGGAAAGGAAAGGAGAGAAAGCTGGTTCGAAAATTTTTAAATAGGTAACCTGAATGACAATAGAAACAGTTATGATGGAAATACAGCCAGACACATCGTTCTCTTTTTCAGAAAATTCACTTTAAGGAGCAACGAAAAGCACCAGTAAGCATGGAAATGGCATAAAAATGGGAAGAGCAAAAAGGCAAATTGAGTGGTATATGACCAAAACATTTCTGAGAAAACATAATTAGCAGATGAAGAGCCATCGACTAAAGACAACGACCTGATCATCGAAAAACTTCCCAGCTTTGACGAATGATCCTCATTTTTTCAACCTGAAAGTCCGGATTAGATCAATACCAGGAAAGGTTTATCTCAAGAAGAAAAAATAAAGCCAGTTTCAACTTTAGTATGACGAACACGGCACGTGATAAATAAATGCCAGCTGCACAAGTCAAGCTGCTTAATGTGATCGGCGGAACGGATCTTCTCACCCGGACTTGTTTTTTGGGTGGGCTTTACAAGTTCTGCACAATGATCTTCCTATCACACGTATTATCAACCTTAGTTGAAGGTAATCCAGTTGGGTAGATAGGATTCTGAGGATTTTGCTCTATCGAACTCTTTCTATAGGAAAAGGGTATCAATGGAGCAGTTTAAAGGTACAAAGATGGAAAATTACTATGAGACCTTCGCTTTTCCGAAGGCGCTGTTATGTTATCCATTAGGATTTCTATGAGTACTAACTACATCCCGATTAACTACTAAGCAACTCTTGGAATACTTTATTCTTTTAGTCAAAGGATTGTGAGATCATAACACTTTTAGTTGTTCAGTGATTATTTGTTTGCCACACGTAGCTCTCCGGGCTCTCGTGGCATAGTTACTCATTGCCATGCCCGCATTTGGAAATCTCGGACTCGGCTTGGATGGCGTGGCCTAGGTTGACACCTCGCTGTAGAGCAGTTCGCCACTGAAGAACATCCACCAACTACGAACTGTCAGATGTGTTTAGTATTGCGCTTAAGTTATCCGTCTAGAATTGCAAGTA